GCTATGAACGCAATGCACTAAAAGAAATTCATGACAATTTAAAAATGAATTTAGCACTGACAATTCTGACTAAGTGCTTTACTGGTCTTACTGCTACAAGTAGTCCCCCAAGTTATATCTAAAACTAGAACTGTGATTACATCTGTGAATTTTTCAGATGCTGACTATTTCTTTCTTTTGGTGTTTCAGGCCAATGCCAACCAAAGATCAGGTCGTGCAGGCAGAACAGGAGCTGGGTTAGTCTTCATTGTAATGTTACTACAACAATATCATTAATAAACCTTTAAAAACTCTCAACAAAGACACATTTCTCCGACCACACCGATTTCAACCCACCTGTTACTAGTATCTCACCACGTGTATTAAGTAGTTTCTATGTTCTCTCCCTGGCAGTACCTGTTACCGGCTGTACACACAGAGTGCCTACAAGAATGAGATGTTGACGTCCACGGTGCCTGAGATCCAGCGCACCAACCTGGCCAACGTGGTCCTGCTGCTCAAGTCCCTGGGCGTACAGGACCTGCTGCAGTTCCACTTTATGGACCCACCCCCCGAGGACAACATGCTGAACTCCATGTACCAGCTGTGGATCCTGGGAGCTCTGGACAACACAGGGTCGTTGACCCCTCTGGGTAGACACATGGTGGAGTTTCCACTGGACCCCGCCCTGTCCAAAATGCTGATTGTGTCATGTGACATGGGCTGCTCTGCCGAGATCTTGGTAGGTCTATTTGCAGCTTAGTAATATTGTTGCTGTGATACTTCCACTGTGCTACATGTACATGTTTATAAGGTAGTCTTTTAATTTGTAGGTAGTTGGCTTACATGTATGGCTGCAACTACATTTGTACATTTGTAATAAGGAATTCAGTTGGTTTTAATTTGGAATTTTCTCCTAAATTGGTATGGATACTGTAATTTGAATTCAAATTTTTGTACTTTTTTTAGAGTTGTAAGCCAGTAAAATTTGTTTAATTGCTCTGCAAAATGTGGTTCACATCTTGTTTTCTTAAAATTACTTTGTGTTTAGTCAAAAAGATTGATGGCTCTTGTCTTCCTGTAGATTATTGTGTCCATGCTGTCAGTGCCAGCAATCTTCTACCGACCCAAAGGTCGTGAGGAGGACAGCGATGCTGCCAGGGAGAAGTTTGCTGTCCCGGAGAGCGACCATCTGACACTGCTGAACGTCTACCAGCAATGGAAACAGCACAAGTAGGTCAAACATAGCAGGCAAACTGTGACTGCAATTCTGTGACAAAGAACGAATAGTCACAGCTTCTCAAATACACAGTCAAACAAACATTTTTTGCCAATATGAAAGTCCTAGCTAGATGATACCTTTATTTACAGAATGCTTCTATTTTCATTGATAATGTTTTAACATATCCTTTTATACCAATTTCCTAACAATTCTTGAACTCTTTCTTTTTCATAGCTATTCCTCAATCTGGGCCAATGAGCACTTCATCCATGTGAAGGCTATGAGAAAGGTAAGAGGTCTTTTCTGTGCTAAAATATGGGTGTAATAAGTCTTATTTCCATTCTTGATTTGTGACATGCTTCCCCAGTTAATGCTGTAAATACTGTTTAATGTAAAGGATTTGTAATTATAACGACAGGTACGTGAAGTTCGCCAGCAGCTGAAGGATATTATGGACCAGCAGAAGATGGACATCCTGTCATGTGGGAACAGTTGGGACATCATCAGGAAGTGTATCTGTTCTTCTTACTTCCACCAGGCTGCAAAACTCAAGGTACCAGCCCTCATATGTATCATGTGAAAATTCAGTTCTTACTTTCAACAGTCTTTTTTCCCTGTTTTTGTTTGTACAAATGTATGCTACATAGAGTTGGCAGCCGCAAGTATGATTTCCAATGATATTCTGATGATGGGAAGTACATACACATATAGACATTAAAAAAGAAAAATAACCTTCAAATTCTTGCAGATTGATTTTTTGCTCTGACATATTTTCTCTATAACACATGTTGTTGCCTGCAGGGTATCGGGGAGTATGTGAACATCAGGACAGGTATGCCCTGTCACCTGCACCCCACGTCTGCACTGTTTGGGATGGGCTTTAACCCTGACTACATCGTCTATCACGAACTGGTCATGACCACCAAGGTGAGCTTATTTTGTCTCTTTTCTTTTTTTCACTCCAGCAGAAAATTGAGCCCTTTTTGATTAAGAGCTCAAAATGTATCATCATCATCATCTAGAATGGTAGCCAAGACGAAGCTAGTACATACTGCAACTCACTTAATCGGTACCAAAAGTTCTCAGTCTAAGCTGCTAACCATATTGTTGTCTTCCCCTGTACCAGGAGTACATGCAGTGTGTAACAGCCGTGGATGGAGAGTGGCTGGCTGAGCTGGGTCCTATGTTCTACAGCATCAAGGAGTCCACCAAGTCACGTGCTGTGAGTCTCCTTTGAAAGTAGCTCAAGAGATTTTCACCACTCCAAACAGCAACCTGAGCCCCAGCACTTCCTTTCAAATTGCATTTATTTCTCTTATCTTAACAGAGGAGTGCACTCTCCAAGTGCCATCTAGTTTTCTTCATGTACATGTAGTTCATCATTTCTTGTATTACTAAATTTAACTTCAGCATATTCTATTTGTTGTAGAAGCATCCTGAGGTTACTTTTTGGTCCCTTCCTAATTGTTTGTCCTGTTTGTTTTTGTAATTTTTTGTCCCTTCCTAATTGTTTGTTCTGTGTGTTTTGTCCATCCCCAGGAGAAGAGAGTGAAGGCGCGTGAGGAGCTGTCTGCCATGGAGAGGGAGATGGTTCTGGCTGATGAGCAGCTGAGGAGACAGAAGGAGGAGCAGAAGAACAAGAGCAGGGAGGGCAGTGTCAGGTAGGGCTGTACAATCCAGACACACTTGTGCTCTGAGCACATTACAAATAATAGACTTCAGGGAATGAACATAAGGCCTAGGAAAAAATGTTGTGTAATTGACAATTTTGTTTCAAGATGGATTTCAGTTACATGGAGGGTTAGAGTTACAGCTCTTCATTGGTCAGCTCACTCAGCTGAATTCCTTTTTTCCTCGTGCCTGATGAGAGCCTAGTGATGTTGGAGAGACTGGTTAGACTGTGTTGTTACTAGTAGTAACCATACCACATTGTTTTTTCAGGACTACAATCCTAACACCAGGGAGAAGAGAGCCTGGAACTCCCTTCACACCAAGAAGGAACCAGTCAGGATTTGGGCTGTAATTTTACATTGTAGGGAGATCCAGGCATTCAACCCAACTTTACTTTCTGTGATCATTCATTGAGTACCCAACCGGCGGCATTTTCTGTAAAAAAAATTGTCTAATATTTATAGTTAGGTTTAGTCTGCTGTATATGACAATTACAGTTAGGGCAAATGCCCTTCTTAGTTTTTTTATTCTTGATCATGGTACTGCTCATGATAAAATAGGGACCACTAGAAAAACAGCTGAGAGGTAATTTGCATAAGAAGGTAATTTACCTGATAACATATTATGAAGAAAGTGTGATTGTGATTATAGGTATTTTCATGATCTACAAAAACATGGTTTAGATATTGTTGATTCATAAGATATCTATCCAATGTTGTGCTTTATCTAACACTACTTGTAAAGTTTGGTGGTATGTACTGCACTGTGATGTGATAGGTATTGTACAGATCCTAAAAAAATAAAGGACTTCCATTTGCTACATTTCTTGAGTATTTGAACTTCTGGTGTGAATGGCAGCAGTGCAGTTTATGTCCAGAGACAGTCTGTGTCTCCTTGAACTTAGTTTACAAAGATATAAAAGATGTTTTGAAATATTTTTTCAGTATGCGGTAATTATGAGACTATACTTCATATTTCATTTAACAACTATTTACAGAGAATTTTCCAATAGAAATTACTAACATTTGTAATGCAATAGAAACTTCAAAGAAAACACTTAACACTATTGTTTAATGAATGAATGAGTTTATTGATTGATACAAATTGGTATAAGATTTGCAGATATTGGTGGTTTGATGAATTCAACACAGAAATGGCAGAAATATTAACAAAGAAGCTCCGTATTCACCCGCTCGTATAAGCTGTTTTAGGAATGTTTGCCTCAAAATAAACATGCAAGACTAAAACTGTTCTTTCCCGATAAATTCGTGATATTTAGGTAGTCGGGGTTGTCTTCAAGGTCAAGAACAAGAGCAGGAAAGACCTGAAGTAAAACCCCCATAAGAGCCCATCGCGTTTCCCAACTCGCGAAATGGCCGAATCTGGGAATGAGCGAGGCTTCTTTATCGAGATACGGCCCTTTTCGGAACGGGGGCTCTAAAACGGGGGTGTGATAGGGGATGAATAACCGCTTTTTCAATTTTAGAAAAATGAAACTTTTGAAATTTTTGGGCCTCCTTGTTTACAGAGTATATTTCTTACGGTCTCTATTCTATTCCTACTCACTGCCTTCCATCAAATATGCTTCTTTCTCGAGTTATACGTCGAAATGTGATTTTGCGATCAGCTGATCGCTTGCAGAAGTGGTCACAACCTTTGCAGAAGCGAACTTTTGGCTGTCGATATCATTACCATATGAATGAAAACCAAGCAGATGTCAAACGTATACTAGGACAATCAACAAGCATAGTACCAATTTTGCACCCTACCATCTGCTTGGTTTTCTTTCAAATGATAATGCATCGACTACAAAAATTTCATTTCTGCAAAGGCTGTGACCATTTCTGCAAGCGATCAGCTGATCGCAAAATCACATTTCAACGTATAACTCGAGAATAAAGAATATTTGATGGAGGGCAATAAGTAGGAAAATAAGAGAGACAACAAGGAGTATGCTATGTGAACAAGGGGGCCCAAAAAGGTCAAAATTTTTATTTTTCTAAAATTGAAAAGATGGACATTCATCCCCTATCACACCCCCGTTTTAGAGTCCCCGTTCCGAAAAGGTCCGTATCTCGCTAAGGAAGCCTCGCTCATTCCCAGATTTGGCCATTTCGAGAGTTGGGAAACGCGATGGGCTCTTATGGGGGTTTTACTTTAGGTCTTTCCTGCTCTTGTTCTTGACCTTGAAGCTAACCCCGACTACCTAATTATCACGAATTTATCGGGAAAGAACAGTTTTAGTCTAGCATAGGTTCCTTTGAGACAAACATTCCTAGACCGGCGTATACGAGTGGCTAAATAAGGAGATTTTTGTCTATATTTCTGTCATCTAATTGTGTTCACAAAATCAATCATCTAGGGAAAACACACCATTTATACAAATTAAACTGAAGAATTTTTCAGTTGCATATTAGACATTTGCGAGATAAAACTTCAGCATGTGTAATGTTAGCTAGCCAACTTTATCATAAAGTAAACAAACAAACAAACAAACAAACACACATACAAGAAACTTAATTCCAATTATGTAGCGTTACTAGTTACAACGTTGTTAATGTGCTGTCAGTGAAATCCAAAAGTCGTTGTGAACATTCAAGATGCGCTATATACTTCCCGGAGGTTCAGAGTCTTAGATATTTCTCCTTTAACCCTGTACTTGATATACGACTACGAGTAAACACTAGTGCTAAAAACGCTGCTGGTTTACATTCTATGAATTAGAATACATTACTCTATCATAGCTCCACGCTACTTACATTTCACACATTATAGATGACTAAGATCTAGAACCATTATTAGTGATCATATAAGTGATTGGTACCAGGTCTATGACAGTGAAGATATGAATTTTTACTCAAGAGCCTTCCAATGCATCTTCACGAGTACCTGACCAGGTAGTCTATCACCTTGCAATATACCATAAGTCATCTGCTCATACAATGCTTTCCTCATTATTTTACACATACTAGTACTTAAACCTGATCCATGGTAGCAGCTCACTGGTGAAGACTGTCTTTTCCCCCAGCAAAGATGTGTTTCTAAAGGATAAAGATTCGCTTTACCAATGTAGCCACTAGTCTATACTTATTACACTGAACGTGCGGTGTTCAATGGTCCATGTTGGGACATCCACATTCCACCAACAGACTGTTGATTTCATTCGCCACACACTCGGCCAGCAGGTCACTGACCTCTTGCACCAGGCCGCTCTCTTCTCCACTGGTGATCGTCAACGTTGCTTTGGCCTGTAAAAGGGCACAGTATGAATGATTGTCTTTACCCTTTAGTGATATTATGTAAACGAAAAGACACGGACTGTGAACATCATAAAAATAGGTATACTCGATAGATAGTCAATAGATACTGTAGACTATTGAATATTAATAGTAGCCAGACATACACATAATAGACAACTGTATTGTTCCCCATACACAACACTGTTGATTACTTAATATGTACAATGTCATGTACTTTAAAAAGCTACAACAAACGTCATAGGATGGTGTTACCAGTCGCAGGTAAGGCAGGGCTGACGATTGGTCACCCAGTCTGTAATACGCCAATGCCATCTTCTGGTACAGCAGGCCATTGTCAAGGTCATATCTTTTCAGGAACATTCTACAGCAGATACGCACGGGGAGACGAAAAACATACATAACTTAAATGAAAAAGTTATATGAAAAATTGTTTTATTGTAATCAATCAGTATTAGTAAAAGTTTAAGTATTGAATTAAATAAACCTGTGGCATTCTTCTTCACCTAATTCAGTATCACAAGTACAAAGTATGGCAGTCAGATATATGCTCACTATGCCCATTGTCACAATGGAATACCAAAAAGTGGACTGTGTGTGTTTGCATGGTTTGTAGGACTGCAAAGAAACTAACTTGTATCCGGGCTCCATCCTCTTCCCGTACTGTACGGCCTTCTCCCATTGGCTGAGCTCCACGCACACCTCCACCAGGTCCTTCAGAAGGCGAATCACGTAGACGTTGTCTGAGTGGAGGGTGAAGTCCACCTGGGCCAGACAGGACTCCAGGAAGTACAGGTCGTATTCACGGTGTGTGACGTAGTTAAGGTCTGTATAGTACCGCAACGTTAACGCGATGCTTTAGACACAATATAGTCTGTAGAGGAATTAAACGATATCTCATTGTCAAATCAAAAGGCGTTTTAGAGGGGATGGTCAGGTGTGGAATCCCGGTTTACAAGCTGTTTCTGTAGTATCACTGCACAAACTAAAGATAATCTTAACGCACACATTAACCATGCGTACAGGTTCCGTTTATTTACTTGTGTGTATGTTTACGCAAGCTTTAAGGGTGTGCTTAAAGATTGGATTTCATACAGTGTCTGTTTGTAATACTTGAGAACAGTATGTCTAAAAGCATGGTAAAAAGGATATCCTCAGCCTGTGCCTTGTCTAGGATGTTCTCGGCGTACTCAATGAGAAGGTCCATCTCCTCGTAGAAGTCTGCATCAAACTTCGCAAAGCCGCAAGCCTCGCACTTCTCATACACACCGTCTGGTGGGCGTGGCATTACGCACGGTGAAAAAAATACATATATGCAATATACGGTATAGTAGGGGAGGGGAGCATGAAGAAGGGATGTTGTAGATTTTTAAAGCAACAAGATTTTCCGCCTTGGTTAATGATCAGATTATTGGTGACAGGGAATGCTTGTGGATAGAACACGTTCCTGTAACAAACTAGTCGATTTTTCAAATTGATAGAAAAAACGACAAAAGGGCGTTCCTTTCCCTACACTACCTGCATTAGGAGCGACTCTTTCTGAACAGTCGGGACACTTAACGCACCGCATGAGCCGATCCTGGAAAAGAGATAAGACTACTGTCAAAAGTAGTTACCTAAACCTGCAAATAAAGAGGACAAACTAATTATCAAACTAATTATCAATAAAGATACCGCTGCAGCTAAGACTAATACATGTATTGTCTACATTGACAAGACTGTATACATACACGGTCGGTGTTCCGACAGTCTGCACACTGACAGAGGAAGTGGTACGTTTTGAGGAGCTTCTCTTGTCTCTTCGCGGTGGGCAGCAGAGGCGGAATGTAGCCGTGGAATATCTGAGAAAAAACGGATAGTACAGCGTAAGGCGTTAATGTCAACATTGACGTAGTTACTGATCATAGTGATAAAGATAATGTTGGGAAAGAAGGAAACATAGTAAGTTAAAGCTGGTTATACAGAAAATTAAACATCGAATGAACTATATATAAGGCTCTTAAAGTTATACCGTCAAACCTCAGTGCGAGAGTTGAAGAAAACCTTAATTATGGGGTACCTGGGTTAGACTTACCTGTTCTCCAGGTCGGATGTACTCATTAGCCCGGATCTGTATCTGTGGTCCGTAGAACATGCCGATACAGTTGGACTGGCAGCTGTGGTTGATCATGGAGGCCCTAGACACACATATGGAAGAACGGATTGGATGAACAACGTGGTCAGTCGTAACAATTAAATTCTTCTCACTCCTTGTAGATTTTACATGGTAACTTATGAAGTTACGTCTTGCCTATATGAGCAGAAGGAATTGGACTTACTGCGGGTATACTCCTATCCCGATAGAGCACATGTTCTCATCAAGAATCGCAAAACTGTTGGAGGCAATCTGTAGAAAGGGTACAATTTAATCTTAAGTGTTATATCTTATTGTTAGGCACTATTATATGTCAGTATAATGTTTTACGTACATACTCGTGAATTTTCTGAAACCTGCAACTTGATATTTACTAAACGATAGCGATGGAACAGACGATTACAACCATCTGGCCTCCAAGAAGGCCACATTGACCGTACAAACTATAACATTCGCACGCGTTCACATGACTCACTTTGCCGTAGATCTCCTCCATGAAGGCCCGGTCTGGTAACGCGTCCTTCTCCATGTGTTGGGCCAGGGAATCCATTTTGGAGTCGAGGCTGACGATTCCTTCCTCGCAGCTCTTTAACGTCTCGATATCTAAGGATTTTGTAAACATTCAAAAATCGAAGATATGAGTATGAACAGATAACAGTTATTCATGGCCAAGATCTTCTTTTTTACATACAAAGAATACATGCATCGCACAATGTCAGAAGTAAAGGTCGACTTACTGGAGACCAGACTGCTCAGCGGTCCCAGTGCTCCCATGTCCGTCTTTCTAGCATGCTGAAAGTAAAAATGAAAGAAGTATAAACATGAGATGACAAAAGTCCCAATACAAATGATATCCCAGAGAGTAACGAATTCTGTGCATATGACACTGTAATTTCTTCATGTTTCTTTTAATATGACTGGATTCCTTTTTTACTATTGCAGTTCTATGAAAGCAAGTCGTGTTTATATTTTCTTGTACCATTTTGTAGAGGATCCGCCCCATGACTCGGAGATGTTCAGGTAGGCCCATCAGACGGCTGTACCCGCGGCACTCCGGACGGTGATGGAAGCTGGCCGCTTTCTGAGAGGACAGAGATGATCAAGAAGAATAGGTTTTTGGGGGTGAGTAAATGAATATCTAGGATAACTGAGAAATCATTTATGCAGAAAGGTGGCAGAAATGCAGAATTCTGAAAGAAAAATTTATTCTGACTAATATTGATTCTATCAATAGACACTATAAGCAAGAAAAGCTACACTTCCCATGTGAACGAAAACATACCTTGCACTCTTCGTTGCAATATAAAGCTGCCCGACAGGCGTCGCATCTGACAGAATTTTCTAGTCTGTTGGCAAAGAATCAACAGACATGAGACTCCATTGCACGAGGCATGGCATGGTTGTGACAAGAAGAGGACTTCATCATCATTGATAAAATCAACGAAAGAGACACATTGCATGCAAGAAATATTTCAGTACGCTGTAAAGGCTAGCGTCTATGTAGAAGTTAGCGTATACAAACATGGTTATTTGAACGCTGAAATGATTTATACTGCCTTTTTTTAGTTCAATATCAATCGCTTTTACTGCCAATCGGTTCCGGTATCTCGAATTATGCATAAATCACATGGAGGTATTACCCTCTTTATATTAATATTCTGTAATAAATCAAATGACTAACCTTTTTAAACAATAGTGGCATCGAGTGCGCAGTAGTTCTTCATCAGTCAGGGTATAAGCGTACGGCTCCTCTTTCACAATCAGTGTCCCTGGTTCGATTCCCGAGGACGCCTTGTCGCACCGAATCCCCCGTCCCTGGCCGACTTCGCAGAAGAGCTGGCCCTGCTGCCTCGCCATGTTTGTTTGAAGCACCAACTGCCCCTACAACCGAGCTCAGACCAGAAATAGTAAGAGAGGCAGCGTGTGAGGGACCAGTTGTTTCCAGAAATATCCTGCCCTCTGTCCGCCTGCGCCGGACCATCTTCCTCCTCGCGTGTCAAACGTGCCATGGGAGAAACACAAGAACACCCGTCCATCGTGGCGAGCGCTATGCATACAGCTACACCGTCCTGTTGATATCGTCAATCATAGTCGGTAACGCTGTGAGGAATTGAAAATGTTCAGCAAGACATTTTGCGCCGTTTTTAAGCATCACTTCAAGCGCTATCTTTGTGGCTTATGCAGCGCACTGTTTCATTAGTCCATAACGTATCAGCTTTGCTTTTTCTCGAGACAAAGATATTTCTAAAATGCGAAGGAAACATATCCCAAGAAAAAATAAACCTTTTCATTTCTTTGACATACCATATTAGAATAGAACATGAATACAAAGCTCTTAATTGAGGAAAGAAAACTGACGAAATATATTCAGTGACAAAATCCAACTTTATTAAGGTGCCTTTGTGCAGAAACACAGTCACTAATCATAACACCTATTTACTTTGTTTTCCATAAATTCAGATATTCCAAAATTATACAATTACCTCACCATATCTATGTACAAATTTTACACCATCTGACAGGGCAATTATAATACAGAAATGATCAACCAAACCTTTCAAAATGGCTCAATCTATGTGATTCCATAGCCTACATATCAATACTATCGTAAAGCATAGCCTATTGTTTTATGATATACAGCAAAAGCTTGATATCAGATTGTGCAAGCAAACGTAATTTTTTTTTCTGGACAAGAAATTATATATATACATTTGATCCTTTTCTGCATAAAAGAAGCAGATAGACAATTCTGTTTCAGACTGCACGTGCTCAGTACAACGTAACATTGCTACATTACAAGGCTTTAACATTGTTCCTCTTTAAGTTGTAGGTACTTGGCAATGCTTTCTAATTTTTTTTAATCACAATGGCACTCATATGACTCGGATCGGGTATATGTTGAAAGCAGCAATGTACGGCTTTGTTGAAGGGTACTTTGGATGAAGGAGGAAGGATTGTTGGGGGGGTGCTATTAAACTGTAAAGAGAATGACCCATTTCAAAGAACAACAGAAAGATTGTAACATTACAGTTTTAGAAATAAACTTCAAACTATTCATTTAAAAATCCTCCCTTACCCCAACAAGATTCTTCACAGTTGACAATATCTACATCTAAGCATACATGAATGTCACTCTAAACAATGGGAACAAGGACAAGAAAGTATCTATTACATAGCATTAGACATGTAGTTCATATAACCACCTAGTGCTGGCGTGTTACACTGATGGGTAGCTAAACTGCCTATACAGATACAGACAATCAGTGCAGTATTTAGACACACAGTGAATGCTATAAAGATATCTCATTCTTGATACATCTCACATTATCTTACAAAATTGTTAGACGTGCTGTTTCTGAATTAACCAATAATGAAGTGCTTTTTAGAGCATATCACAAAATCATCCTCATTTGGATGAAAAATGTTTAAAAGCAATGAGCTCTTATATACACTTTCAGTGTCTATTCTCAACTTTGGCACCTGAGTGGCATTTCAGACACACTCAGAAATGTTTCAACTACTGTTATAAAGAATTCATGTTTTTCTGAGAATATAATCTCAAACATTGTCCCAAATAACAAGAAATGTAGATACAAACTTACATAAAAGTACAGCAGCATGAAGTGGAGATTTTGTGAAAGCTAATTATTCCTATGAATGTATCACATGTTCTCTAACATTGTTGAGAATACTGTGGTTTGTTTGCCAATCTGATACATTGTAGCAACTCTGTTATTTTGGACCCAGTTTAACCATCCATACTGTATCAATTTGATTCCTTAGTTCTCTCATATTTACAGATAAAAAAACGATGGCTCGGAAAAATCAAAGAACCAGGATACAAAGTCAGTATGGCCTTAATGGACACCTACATGTACATAGAGATGAGTCAATGATCCACTAACTTAAAGATTAAGTGTATTGCACAGAGAAGAAGAGATATCTATCATCTATCTTTAGTGATCCAAGGGCTAATTAAAAGTGGCAGGTGATCTTTCTTAAGATTATTTTTGTATCATAAAGGTAGCCCACACAGAATCTTTTTGAGTAGGAAAATTGTAAAAAATAGGTTTTTAAAGATGTTTTGAACACTCCACCTATATTACTACAGTACTGTAGCTGCTTTGACAGAATTGCACATTCGGGTCCCTGTCTTCTTAGCCATTTCAATCTCCTGTATGATTTTTGTCACATACAATTATTCCTTCTTATAAGTAGCACACATTTCAAACTTTTGTCATCTGTACTTACAGCTACATTGTAGTAAGCATCTAGGGAAGCTTTGACTACATAACAAACCTTACAAACATTCTAGCTAGGGCCTGTTCTGTACAGTAAAACAACGCCATCATAACAAGTGATACTATAGTGTGTTCCTTACAAACCAAGTTTGAAAACTCACAGTCATGTCATTAACAGGATATACAAGTGCAGGAATGTCTATGACACATTTGACAAATACATTTGCATATCATGCGTACTCTCTATTTTCTTCACAAGAGAAGATATGTTCTATTACTTGTTTAAAGAGTTCATAAATTCTTTTGTAGTGTAATCTCAGATAGGAATGATCTCATGGCAAAACTACTTCATTCAAAAGCTGACAGACAAGCTGCGCAGTCCCTCTCCAGCAGCACTACTGAATGACACAAGCCTTACTGCCGTTGCCACTGTTGATGGAGCCGTTACTGCCGTTCTGGGCCCCTGCTGTTCCTCCTCCCTGCATCGCCTTCTGAGACTGAATTACCTGGAAAATGATAAATGGTAAACTTATTCATAAAAATAAACCTTTCTTTTCAACCATGTACTGCCGTAGTTCTAAGGCTGTCAGCTTTAGAATCTGAATAGCCAAAATTATGTAGGTAAAATTGTTTTGAAAGAAATTGAAACTGGAAAATTTTTCTTTTGGCGAAAAATTATTTTGTGGCCATTGAATTTAGATCCACAGATGTATTACACTCTTGTGTGCCATGATTGGCATTTAGAACTTAGAATAGAAGAGAGCAATTCAATCAACTTGGCAACCCAACAGGAAATTTGTAAGCATTTTGTCATAACAACAAGAATTTTGCAATTCAGCTGTTTGACTTTCAACATAGCAATTACAGCTGAAAGTAGAATTTTTGTGTTCCATGAAGTTAATATATCCTGGTCAACAAAAGAGGTCAGTAACAAATCGAAAATTGCACGCTGTAACTAAAACTAACAGTTATTCAAATCATTGCACAAGATCACACAAAATTCTACAGGACACTAATCTTTTTTTTCTAATGGGAAAACAGATAACACACAGCACAATTAAAGGGCCATATTTGCTGACTACAAATTAGAGACAGTCAACAAGCTGGGCTAATTTTGAAATATGTTGTATTAGCTTCAAAATAATTTCTATGAGTTTAGATACTATGTTATTATTAATCATGGTACAAAGCAATGTACAGAATGATATGAATTCCTGAGTGCAGGCATGTGCTTTTCATCATCATCATGTATACAGCAGAAACACATTGGATTGTTGCGATTGTCTAGATATTCTGGCATTGTAGAATGCATATGATGTATGGTGCAATGCATTTGGTGTTGACATTCATATTTTTCCATGAGCTGTCCTTGGTGCTGAAATGTAAGTGCACTGCTCTGTTGCTCTTTTATACTATAGTATACTCTCCAGGCTTTTCCACGATTATTCAAAGCTGATTTGCAAACATGCAAGTTAAAGCTGTTAAAGTTTGATGGAACTTCATTGCTTGATTGCATTCAATCAAGCATAATTTCTGAAATATGCAGTTAATTATGATATTGGAATTAAGAAAGTTGATCTGTTATCCAAAGCAGTGATATGAACAACATTTTGCATAATAAGGTGGCCTTTTATTTAAATTCTGGTTAATGGAATATTTGTACACCTTACACCCTGTGAGGATTAAAACCCATGATGATAGACATTTCAGGTGATGTTGCTGATCCATAGTAATAAACATTAACATGCAGCTTCTCTTGAAAAAAGACATTTTCAAAACATATTGATGCAAAACAGAGGTTCTTGCTATGCAGAGTTCAAGCTACAGTTTTCCTTTACTGTGGTACTAAATGTTTATTTCTCTGTACTGAAAAAAAAGCCAAAATAGCCAAAAGCTTCTTTCCAAAGCAGCCAAGCTGTGAAGCAGAGGAGACGGGAAATCTGCACAACTGCAAGTCAACATGCCAAGTTAAAAGCTTAGCACCTTAATTTGCTCAGAATGAAATGAACTATTTGCACTATTTGAACGTTTCCTTCACACACTCCTATTTCTACATATATTTGAGTCTTATTCTCACTGATCTAAGAGAAAACTGACACTAGGACTAACTTTACATCTCAGACACATGTCATGCACAACAACCCGTAATTTAGACTCTCTCCAAATGTAAGAAATGATGGTAGGGACAGGATAAGATTGACAGACAAGCAAACCAATAATATGACTTGAATAAACCATGTTGAAGCTGAACAATTCATTCATCTACTTACATGGTGATTTTGTAAAAAAAAAATTGGTTTGCTTGCCCTTGATGTTCTGAATGAAGCCTGTATCTCATGTATGTTAACCTTCTCCCTGCAAAGAGCTCATTCACACATGCACCAATGACTGGTACAGTAGTAATGACTCAGCAAGGAGAAGGTTAAGGTAAAGAGATGGATGTTGGTATGGTGACAGACAAACAGAATGTAGTCAAACAAGATGAAGGGAGGGGTGGAATTACAACTGAAATGGAAGACAGGGGTTGTCAAAACAGCTAACTGAAGAAGGCTGGGTGCGCTTGAACTTTGAGCAAATGTGACGGGCGTGTTTCAAATGTTGGGGTATAAAATTTAAATAAAAATGAAAATTGCATGGCTTGGGATGGGATGTGACAATTCAAAAGAAATGATGAGGGTATGAAGAAAATGGAAAAATTCTATCAGTGAAGCAGTATGAAATACTAGTATGTATGGCTAGCTAACCATAAGTCTAAAGCATATTGATATGTGTGAGTTCTGTATGGACAGTTGGAGTATAGGGCTGCTAACTAGCCTTAAGGGATGACTCACTATGGAAGAATTTTAATTCCTTAAGGGACTGGTCAGGAACAAACAGCTATCAGCTCAATGTCAATGTTATCTCTTGGGCTTGGCACAGCATTTGAGCTGGTCTTAATAGGCCCATTGATGTTTCTGACTTTGGGAGAAGAGTTGCTTTTACAGTCCTACTCATGTAACCTGTACCCTTTGGAGTGGCCTTCAGACCTTGTTATGTGGTGACCAATAAGTAAGAAAAAAGGTACATGTACAGTACAGTTGGTCATTAGTCACAGCTCGAGCTGGTAGCAAACAGTGAAGAGTGTCACACATTTGTGTCTCTTGTAAGAGGTGGAAAAGAATTACACATCGACAAAAGGAAACGACTAGGGAATTTCAGGGACATTGTTGTTAAATAGACACAAACATTTTTTAGTAGAAATCCATCTGCATTACACACATAAACCTGCACATATTACATCCTGTTATCTAATAATAACAATTAAGGTTACTGAACAACATTAAGCACCATAATGATTATTTGTCCCACACCACATTAACACCTTTAGCAGTGAGTCACCAAGCTTCAGCTTTGTCCTTATTGAACACCTTTTGAACTTGACATGCTCACCATATGCCATGCATGTGTATTAGCATATTTGCATTAATATATTTTACTTTGGACCTATATCTTAACACTCAAAGTTTTGAACCAGGTGATTTATATTACATTAATAATTTTGTCTTTAAATGGGTCTAAATAAAACATTGAAAAGAATCAAATTTTTTTTAAAGCTCAAAAGACATAGGTCCAACTAAAACATAAATTTAAGTATTTGCACCTTGCAATAACTTTGCAGCCCATTGATAAAAGAACATAAAAGTTGATGCATGCATACAATGAATACACCAGAAGACAATAATAAATGTGCAGAGAAATGCATAGAGGTGCGTTGAAATAAACAAGATATAAAATAAAGATGGTTGCAGAAAGGAGGATTTGAGAAAGAAATCAGATAAAGCAGAGAACAACATGGCCACTGAATATATAGCCTTACATTTGGAGAGTCTGAACTTCCAGTGCCCAAACCACCATTCCTTTTTGCCCTCTGGTTGTTGCCTGTTTGCTCCTTATCATTTGGGTCCAACTCAAAGCTGTACACACTAACAAGATCATCCTGAGGGGGGTGAAAATGTTACACAGGTGAGAATCGTATGCCTACACATAATCACACCGACTACGAGCAACAAAACACGACATCAAAAGCTGCTCCATCCACGGACACAGACGCTGACACCTGCTTGACAAGAGTTACGGCACAGCAAGCTGCAACACTCAGGTGCATGCAGGTGCATTGGTGGACAGGCGTCCATTCAAAACAACCACAGCTACCACCACAGGATGCACAATTAGCATGAACCACTGATCGGACACGCACCTGGAACATTCCTTTGCTGATGAAACACTTGTTTCACAAATGCAACCATGCTCATGCACATGCCCACACTCAAGTATTATGGACCAGTCTTTGTCCAGCACAAGACGAGATCGTGGCAAGCTTTGCTCATATCAGAAATCATTGACAAGATCTTAAATCTTCTGACAATTTCAAGCAGTGTGATTCTTCTATCATAACGATTACAGCATTTTTTGCAAAGCTGCCAATCAGTTCTGTGCTGAAGAAAGCCCAAGCCTTGTGAAATGTGTGAACATGAACGTCAACATGTATGCACACGTTTGTAGAGAAACACAGTTATATGGCGTAAACAAAAATACAGATGAAGCAAACATGATGGTGATTAGTGACACTGTTACACAGGTTGTCCTTACATTTGCACCACTACCATCGGAAGACTGTTTTGCTCGCAGCATTTTCTGGCCTTTCAACATCTGAAAAAGATAGGAGCCGTGCACACATTACAGATAAAGATTATGTGGACTGGAAATTCTCTACGGCAAAAACTACTGTTACTACATGTACAAACATGTCACTACCGTCTCAGAAGAGAGTTGCAAAAAGGGTGCTTAACAGTGGGAAAAAGTGATCAACAGCCAACACCAGATGTTAGCAATGGCTTATGCACATGCTGGTTAGTGCAGACCTACAGGAAGCTACCTGACATGGTTACGGCCACCGGGAAACTTAAATACTAGTCTCCAAGCAGATGTAAGGCTTGTTTTGTCGTTGAGATGAACAGACTCCAGGAAATGTGCACTACTTGAAAGATGCACAAAACAGAAAATAAAGCCATACATCTGCTTTGAGATAATGATGGAATCGAAAATGAGATCAATGTTTACTAAGGACTGTTTTCTAAGTATCTGAGTGTCCTTCTCCCTTCTAAGTGGTTGCATGATACTTTGCTGCACACCAACAAAAAAGGGAAAAAACATTATCTAACTGCATTTATTATCTAACTGTCCTATGTACAGCACATACCCGGTATATCCATATTGTACAAAATGTACATCAAACAAAATCATGTTTCATGTGTTCTCATATTTAGTAAAGGATACAGCCATATCAGTACAATAATGAATATACATTGTACTTGATATATAGTCTGCATTTTGCAATTGTCACACTGATTTCAATCCAAATGCCTATCTGAAGCACAATTTCTAGTCAGCAGCTTCAAAAATTGATGAAAGCATGCCACATGCCACTATAGGGACCAGAATGTCATATACTTTGCTGATCATGCTGATGTTGGTCGCATGCACACAAAATGTGTTTGTTTCATGCCATAGAATGGATTTTAGAGCAACAGCAGAAAGTTCTGACAGCCCTTCTGGTACAGCTCTTATCCCACTCAATGGATGCTCTGAGGTAGAATGAGCTTAAGACCAATGACATTCTTACCCAATTGGCAATCCAGCCATTATAACCTTGTAGAAAAATGCAGTGTTGATGCAGGCCATGTTAGCCATCAAACAGAAGAATAGCATCATACATTACACTAGGTACAAACACTGCTGCAGACTCAGTGCTAGGCTTGTAACTCTTTGAACCTCCCCTGCAGACCTACCGTGTTGAGAATCTCCACTCTGGTTTTGAGTTTGTTGCCGGAGCTGTTGGCTACGGCAGACACGTGTCGCCAGAACGGCTCAAACTGCTGCTCTTCTGCTGGCTTGCCCTTCCACTCTGAACACAGGTCCTGCAGAACACAGCATGAAGAAAGTGCTATAATTCTCAGACAGTTTTCAGTTTTACATTATGTTCTCTAAATGTGCACCTCCATTACTTATTCATCATACCTGCAAAACCTATCAAACATTGCAAACAACTGCAACATTTCCTACAGCATCTTACATTCTTTATAATGCACCTGTTGCACAATCATCCAAATAATGGTAAGAGCTATTCTGTACAGTGTACAGTGTAGCAGCTCACATTGTACATGTAACTGTTGTAAGACAAGGCAACTGTAACAGTTATAACCTAACTTTCCCATATTCCCACACATTACCTGTATTCTCTTCTCTTTCTTCTCAAGTCTCTCAAACTTCTTTTTGAGAACTTCCAGCTCATTTCTCAGCTTGCTTTCCTCAGAGGCCTCCCCAGAAATGGTCTGACGCCGCTGCATACCCGGGTTCTGCAACTGTTCCATCTGCCGCAACTCCTGCATTGTTGTACGGAAAACATGTTCAAGACTTTCTTATAGTTCAAATGTGTGATCTTTTCTCATTTGTCTCATTATCTGTCTATCATTCTTTGGTCTTGTCGCTAAATCATTAACATTTTATCAAGCAAAAATGCTCACGTATGAAACTGAACGAAGACTCAAGCCACTATCCAAAGATGAATAACAGGTTAGTAAATGAACAACTGAATCATATGGTATCACCACTTATTAGTTTAACAAGATAGGAAACAATGATTGCTAACCTTGGTTGTCATCTTCATGAGCCTGTTGTCATTGACAGAGTCCTCCTGTACCCCGTACAGCTGGAATGTGATGCAGCCATGCTCAAAGTACCCAAGCTGATCCTGTAAAATAACACTTGGTTTAACAGAAGTACAAACCTTTTCATTTTGAAAGATATTTGACAACTACGTGTCAACAACACATGCACTGAATATTTTAAAGCAGTTCAAATAAGATAGCTACAGAATTTTGGAATAGACCAGTCCTTATTTTATCCTAACTGACCTCATTGACAGCAGGATAGGTGATGATCCTGTGATGTTTGAACTCAGGAGACAGGGTATCCTTAATGACAGGTGTGCTGGTGACATCCTCGTCTTGGTACACCTTGTACTTGATATGCAGACCCTTGGAGTACTTGGCTTTATTCACCTCTGCACTTTTGATAGTCACCTAGAGGGGGAGGGTCAGAAAAATCTTATATTGAGCTATGAATTCTTTCTACATCAAACCTTTTGCATACTTTTTGCTTTCCTCACCTAAGTTTAATTTGATTCAAGATATTCACAAGATACCTTGTAGTGGAATGGTTTCCCTAGCAGCTCTTGGGGATCTTCCACAAAGAAGTCCTCATCGAGGGGTTTCCCTTTGTCACTGCATGGTGTGATGTTGACGTACAAGTTGCCCTCCTCTACTCCCTGCACAGATGGAAATTAACATATACACTCTTAACTGTCATGTACCTAATGTGTTGGTAAAGGCACCAAGGAAAGGGCCAACTACATGCTACATCCATACATATGTCGAGGTAGAGACTCCAACCCAGCATACCAATAGAAATCCCGATCATAGTCTTTGTCAACAGAAAGATCCTGTAGAGATGCTGATCAGAGTCTGAAAATTTAAAGACGTTCCCTTAAGAGATGGTCAGAATTTTCCAACCTCCATTCATGTCGCTTTCGATCAATGGATTGACTCGAAATTCAGGATTTGTCAATGGGAAATGTCCCAATCACATTAACAGCAACCTGATTGGAGTCTCTGTCAACAAAGACTCCAGATCGATCAGAGTCTCTACCCAGATGTATATACAAAGCTAAAATGACAGATGACATCCCAGAGACTGCCCGTACCTTGTAATCTGTTACGGCAAGTTTGTCATCAAAGTCCAGAGCGTAAGACAGGGACTGCAAGAAGACATTTGCCGTGCCAATCAGCACGTCTTCAGGAGGCTCCCAGAACGGGTCCTCCTCCTTTGGTATCTTCATCACATCCTCATCACCATCTAAATGCCTCTGGTACAGTTCCTGCATACATGGGTACAAACAAAATCAGACATTTAGTACATTGTTGACACAGTAATATAAATCTCAAATATGTCCAGTAAGTAACCCAAATATTTATATACAGTTTGCCCTCTCTTATATGTAAATATTTGCAAAGTGACACTTTGCACACATTTTTCTCTAAGAACACATTTTTCTCTAAGTTCATTTGGCTGGATTGTTGTTTGATTTCCCATTTTCTGTCAAAATAAACAAAGTAAACATCTCACCTGAATCATGTACCTCCTGTTCATGAACTTGCCCCTTTCCCACAACCAAGTGTTGCCATTCAGTAGATTCTTCATCTTCACCACCACTCTGAGAAAGCACCACACATAAAATTAATCTCACGCGCCTGGTGTATGATATTCCATATTCAGTTTTCTTATATAATTACATGGTACATATATTGCCAAGATGTATTGCCAAGATGTTTTTGGTAGTGTTTGTATGTGTGTATTTATGTACGTACAAATGCATACAGTTTAGCACAATAACTCAAGAAGCTATAGATGGATTGTCATCAAACTCAGTAGGTAGGTAGGTTGTGAAATGATGAGATTTTGGGTCCCCTGGTAGCTCGTTATGGTACTGCAGCAGAACTTTGATTTTCATGTTCCACTTTTGTGTTTTTATCTGCCCTGATCCCACTCACTTTGCGCCCTTCTTGCTGCCGTATCCCTCCATGGCTGCCCCGCTGATGAGGATGACCTCGAAGGTGCGATGTTTGTTCAGCTCCTCACTGATGGCGTTGACCTCTGACACCATGGGCAGCAGCTCCAGGATCTGCTCCTGGGCAATGATTTGTTCTGAAAAAAAAAAATTTTTGGAAATCTCTTCATACAAGTCTTGTAAAAAAAACTGTAGGGTTCTTAGTGGCAAAAGAGCAGATCTTGGCATATTGGAGACACCAAATTTGTCTGTGTCCTCATCATTATTTGGACACAGCATAAATGATTAGCCGAAAGGTCCGATGGGCATCACTCCACCGCACAGCGAAGGTACAGTAGTGTAAAGTGCCTTTCCCAAGGGCACAACATCGGGCATGTCAGGGGATCAAACCCGGCACCTCTTGGTTTCGAGCCAAAAGCTCTGACCATTACACACAATGCCACAGGAAGGAGTCTTGTAATGTCAAAGAAAGATGTCAAAGCAGTTGGCCATTCAATAAGTGTAATTTTAATTTCTATTCAAGTATTTCAAACTTAATCAGACATCCATTCTAACAGATCAACCTACCTTTGGTCATCCCAGCACTGGCAGTGTCAAAACCTTTGTGTTTTGCAATCTCCTTCTGGGCAAAGTCCCAGTCAATCTTACTGGGGGTGTTTTCTGGAGCCTTGGGATTCAGGGGGTTATGGAACACATACATGTGGTTGGAACCTGTGGGAAATAGAATTTTGCAAATCATCACAAAGAGGCAACAATACTTCAAATGCTGTATCTAAAGTACATTTTGTTCTGTTTTCAAAATACCATCATAAGCCATAAGCCATAGTCCTAATACTTCTTTCATAGGTCAGAGTCCATACCATAAGCCACAGGCTTATCTTAAGATGAAATATAGCAGGCAGTCAATGTCAATAATGAATTGGGAGTGTATCAGAATGTTCATTTCTGAACAGAACGCGAAGAAATCAATGTTATTGTAGTTATTCCTCCCTTGTTATCAGACATACAGAGATATGCCATACCAAAGAGAACTCTGTCCAGGTGCTGTAGAGTGGTTGGTCCTGTCAGGGGAACACCGTTGATCTTGGTCTTGGCTCCTTGCTCCCCTGGCTTGACAGTGGCCTCGTTGTTCTCAAAAGTGATGACTGCGTGTTGCTTGGAAATACTATGGAAGAACACGAATGTCAACAGTCAGGGTAATAATGCCAGCTACTTCTTTTAAGTTTTAGATGCTTAAACTTTGAGGTACGGTAAAAATCAGTTTGTGGGAAGTTTGAACTCCCAGTTTAAACAACAGTGTAATAATGCAATACAACACAGAACAACTACTCATGAAAAATTTTACATTATACATTACTTTGTAGTAACTGGGTAAAATAGCAGCATCAAACACTAGACTTTTGAATCTTCACTTTTGCTCCCTTAACAGTTGGAAGAAGGTTCAACAGAATACTAACCTCAGGCCAGTAAGTGGGATCATGGGTGGAGGGCTGGCGTCCTTTCTGCCGATGGTCATCTCTCCTGGCTCAATGAAGTGGAAGATGACCCCAGACAACATGGGGTCCTCATTCAGGTTGACCAGGTGGGGATCCTTGTTCTTCCTGTCCTGTGTGTTGGCCTGGGCAGCTCCCATCGCCTCCTGCTCTTCTCTGTTTCTCTTCAGCTGTGGACACAAAACCACTACGTTGTTACTAAATCTCACAACAAATTAGTTGACTACATGTAGGACAATATGAACCCTTAAGTTACAACTTATTTTGATATGCCACATACACACAAAACAACAATATTCAGCAGTATCTATTTGATGCACATGTACATTAGTCAAATAGAGCTAGAAGCATTTGGTGCCTTCAAAATACATTATATGTTTGTGTCAATAGTAAAATTTTAAAATTGACAGAGAAAAAAGACACAAAAATTTAAAAGATTATTGAGTGATCGAACCTTCTCCTCAAAGCTCTCATCCATGTCCTTCATCTGCTCCTGATTGGCCAGCAGCTGGGCTCGGATCTCCTCCTCCATCTCTTTACGCATTCTCTCAATCTCTGAATAGTCAAGCACATAGAATATTTGAAAACCTTTCTCTTTGGCACGATTTTGTGAATAGATACAAAAACAGGTCAAATGTACAGAAAGTCACATGGTTTTGCCTTTTCAATCAATCTATGTCTAATTAGTACATACAAAGACTGAGATTCAGATATGACATGATTTATTTCAACAATCCAGAAAGCAGCTATCCAACAATCACCCTTGTAACTTGAAAACTATGCAGTCTATTTGGTAAAAAAAAATCAATCAGAAAGATTGGAAACTTTAAGACATATATTCTTTGCAAAATAGTCTTCAACACTACATTGCTACCTGAGTAATGCTCACATTCACAACTGACAGTTGTTAAACACAGGCTATTCTACATGCAATGCAGAAGTATAGTGACAGATTAAGATGATGTGGACTTAACACATCACGCCACAGCAAACAGAAGGTAAAAGACAATTCAAACAAAAGTAATGCTCATGAAGGTGCAGAACAAAAACAAACCTTCTTTGCTGTATGTCCCATCTGTTGCAGAAAGTGCACATGCACATGCAAAGTGGTAACATGCAATGGACAAAGTACAGTGATGCATGAACATGTCATTAAACAGTGGTGCCATTAGGGTTAAAAGATGGGTGGGAGTGCACATATTATATAGGGGGGGAAAGACATATACTTATGAAAGAAAATAAATAAATGACTGAATGGGAACGTTAAAGAAGAAATGAATACATGGATGGATGGATGGATGGATGGATGGATGGAGAAGCACATTCTCTCATGAGTTACGTCTACTGTGAGTGATGGATAGATGCAGTAGAAAACGGAAAGGTTGCAATTTTTATATACAGCCAAGTAGAACTTTTTATGCTGATTGATCATGCACAGGTGTACTTATGCAATGGAAACAATGCAATGCAAAGGTTATCAAATTTTATGAATATGAAAAAAGTAAAATACTAGTAATAGTTTATGGTTTAACAGATAGCTATAATCATGTGGTCAGCATGATGTGTTATGAATGTTGATGAAAAGTAAAGCAGAATTTCATGATTATGACATTTGTTGCTAGCTTTGTCGTAACCATTGGTAAGACTTCTGGCTCAGTCAGAACCTGAAGACTAACCAGCAGGGTCCATGCCTGCCCCGCCCGCCACAGGCATCGCCCCTCCCATCTGCTTCTTCAGCTTCTCGTTCTCCTCCCGCAGTTCTCGGATCAGCTTGTCCAGCGGGTTCTCGTTCACCACAGCCTTGTTCTTGATCTTCTTGGCACGGTCGGCGTACCGCAGCGTGCTGAGGGTCTCGTCATAGTTGATGTCAGCCGGCGACAAGGCAGCAATCATGACAGTTTTACTGAAGACAGAAGGATCATCAAAGATTCAAAACATGAAATCATCACACTTACTTGTGATGTTTAAAGAGCATATGCATGTCCTCAAATGATATCACTCTATAAGGAATAGGTATTGGTAACGTTTCACCCACAGAATAATATGTAGAGAAATTCTCACAACCAGGAAATTAATTTGGCAACATAAATAAATGTATATAAAAACTGCCTAACCTGTTTCCTCCCAGGGCATTCTGCAGCAGTTTTGTGAGGACAGAGTCTCTGTAGGGAACCATGACCTTCTTCTTACCACCAGACAGATCAGCAAGTGCCTGAAACAGACATGGATAGTATAACATTCCTACTCTGTAGGCAATTTATCCAAAAAGAGATTTCTGCTTTAGAGAGGCTAAGCAATTTCAAAGCACAATTTAAAAAAAAATCTGCACTTCATTACAGCATAAAATAGTTGGAATTGAAGGCCATAACTTATGAACAACAAAGCAACCTACAATGTACACTGTCCTTGGTGCTGAAATACCAGATACATGATCCAGTATCTTTAATGTTTACCAGAAAGTTAAAACTATGTCTGCTTGCCAATGATACTTCTATGGTAGCAACCATGAAAAACAAGCATTAGCCAGTTTGGAAAGATTGTTTTTCTACAGATGCCCTTTCTAATTTACTTGCCATTTCAAAATTGCAATTCTTTTCCCCACCAATTTCAGGTATAATTATCTTGGGCCATTATGTGCAATTTTACCAGCCATCAGATAACAATCCCGGCACCCTGCAGTTCAGCTAGAAACAGGAAAGTCAGATTTTGAGTGACATGTTTACCGAGATGACATTGCCCAGGGCTGACAGGGACTTGTTGATGTTGGCTCCCTCCTTCAATCTGTCTCCGGTGGCTCCCGTACTGTCCGCACGCTCGCTACCTGAGGATAAACACATCAAACAACATCAAACTTGAGGAAATAGATGTCTTTGAGGTGGAACAGATAAAAGGCAACCTATATTCAAAGTGATTATCTGTATTGCATATCAAAAAGTGGCAGAGATGAAAGTAAATCATGGAATTGTAATAGCCTCTGCATGGATTTCATCTATGTTTCGCCCCCGCCTAAAGTGGGCTACATTTCCATTACCATATACGTATCAAAGGAACTTAGGATGTCATCACAGTCTATTTTAGCCTCAAATACCCTAGTCAGTTCCCACATGGGGATTTCTCTCCATCCAAACTTCTCTTCAGCCCAGGGGATTACTTCTGCAGACACAACCAATCATTCACCAGGTTTCCCTGTTCACGCTGCATACTATACACTATTTTTCCTGCAGGCTTTCAGGTAGATAAAATGTTTGACCAATGTACAATGTTACCCACATATCTACCTGATAACTATACATGTGATTACATTTTTCTTGGTGAAATGTTTGCACAAAAAGCATGTTATAAAGCTGTTGAATAGTGGCTGGCTGTACTACCTAGACCATTCACATCTAACTTTGACAGGATGAAAATAAGGAGGAAGGACTTTGCACCTGCTAAATCTACCAAGTTGATGACACTGCTCTTCTTGGTTTCTTCTCCAGCTTCATTCTTGGAGATCTGGTCGAAGGTGATGGTGACGACGGTGTGGGCTCGACTGCTGGTGGCATTCATGTTGGTGGAGGCCACTGTTCTGTTAGCAGTACCTGGGGGAGGTCAAATATGATGGTGTTAAATGAAATATATGTACTAGCTATTCAACTACAGTCTGAAAGTCACTCAGTAAAGAGCTAAAACATAAAGCAAATATTTGAATGAAATCTCATCTGTGTTGGTTTAAACTCTTAAACTATGGTGCAAATAGTAGTTTTGCATGGGTATAAATTTACCTCTCATGACTATGTTTATACCAAAAGGGTCTTTTATTTACAACAATTTTTTCAAACACAAAGTAATCATATTCACCTTCTTGGGTTCTCTTGTCAATCTCAGCGTAGCTCCCCACAGCCACCTTCTTGAGCCCCACGACGTAGAACAGTCCCAGTTTGGGGTTCTGTCGCACCTGCAGACCACCTTTGGGATTGTCTTTACTGAGGAGGTCACGGACCTGCTCATTGTAGATCTCCAACATGGAGAAAGTAACTTCATATTTCTGAAAAAAATACAAAAATATTTCTCAATACATGCATAAATATGGACAAATTTGCCATTCTGTATTTCTGTGCACCTTTATTCAATTGTTTTGAATTTTCTTCTGTCATCATACCATATATTTCATGCCTTGTTAGCATTTAATATGTACATGTATATGCAAGGGTTAGATATCATGATGCATTACTTCACAAGCTGTAGGTGGAGTTTGAAATAGGTCATTCCTGCATACATGTAAATGACTCATGGCTTCCCTTTCATACTACAGCTAGGTTCTTGGAAACTACCATAATTTATAACTGTCAGGTCAGTTCAAATGGTACCAGGGGGTGCAACGGAGACCAAAAATAGATGATTCAATGTAGTACAATCATGAATATGTAATGTTACAACGTATCAAAAGAAAATAAATTACACTGTAGTTCACCATGTCCTGTGCACTGTTACTCTCACTTTCTCTCTTTCACTTTCACTGTTACCATGATGGATTCAAAAATTATGTAAAGAACAAACTATTGTTTATGAGACTAAGGCAGGCCCATATTCTGGTTCTATACATCTAGTCCACTACCATTTTTTTCTATATGTTGAATCATGCTGATATATGTTGCAGTCTTGAAGACCATGGTCATGCAAATCAACATAGTCTACAAAAGCCTTTGCAGAGACAGGAGCAGGGTCAATGACCTGTGAGGTCTCTTGTCTCCTCTGATATAAGATAGATCTACATCCCGAGGGAGAATTCTACCCATCTGACAGCGACATAAAGAAGTGGACATACCAAGTTCTCTCTAATGGACTGTCCCACAATACCCATTATCACAGGGATTAATTTTACCAAGCGAATCTTACCGTGGCTTTGTCGCCAGCCTCAATAGCCTTGAACAGCTCATCACAAGTGATAGGCACAATTCCTCTGAAAAAAACAGCAGAAAATACATTGTTGGAGTTAACAAACATAACATTAATGCATGATGATATGGAAAGATTCATAAAAGTAAATTGTAACTGAGTATCCAGTTGCCAAATACAGAAATGAAAGATTGTTTTTTCATCAATCTGGCTTAAATGATGCTGTTCTGATTTGCTTTCATCTGAGCAAGATTCTATTGATGTTATAGATACATGCTCCAAGCAAACTTACTTGTTGTTGCCATACCCCACCATGGAGTATGATTTTCCTGATCCAGTCTGTCCATAGGCAAACAGTGAACAGTTAAAACCTGAAATGGGGCACAAATATTTTTGTTATTCCACAAGAGGTGTACTCATGAAGTACTATACAAATATACAAAAAAACAAACAACAAGATTGAAATGTGGCCCAATATTGACTAATAGAATATCATTAGCATTCCTTTGGAATATATTTCTGCCAACTTCGATGATTAGCTAGACTGCACCTGGAGAGTGCAAACATGGAATTGCAGCAATTGGCTCGCTATGTGACTTGTAGTCTCTGATGTGAGAAAAGACTGAAGCTTGAAAAGAAATCACTACAGAGATTTTTATGATCTTCTTCAATTCTTAGAAGAAAATTAACCAGTGACCACCTTCTGTGACTTATAATATTAATAATATTCATTATGAAAAAGGCTGACTAAGCCATCATAATTTGTCTAGATAAAAGCAAATATTACTCTCAACTTTAGATTAGCCTGATTAAATCCAGTGCTCCTAGGGGCCCTACCGACTGATTGGCCCCCTAGTGAACCAATTCTCGGCTTTCACGTGACGTCACGGGGCTTGCGTAATACAGGCGGCCGCCATTTTGGTGTACCTCGCTGTAGTGCTATGCAGTGTCAAGACATTGGTACCGAAGCCATACAAGTAGTTAACAGCCACACGATAATTTTGCAGTCTTTGATGGTTGACAGATGACAAGGATTTCAATGAAATTGTCCATTTTTGAGAGGATAGGAAGTCAAAGGATACGATGACTAAGGATATAGGACGACAAAACTTGCGTATGTGGTAGCGTATGTGTGAACCAACTTCAAAGACTAACGTTACTAGTCCTACACAGTCCTACAGTGGACAGGATCCGTATGTTGGTCACTCTAGTCTAATTTTTTTCTCAATAAATAAATTAAGAGAGAGAGGGAGGGTCTGGGAAGTGTGTTTTGGACAGTTCTCTGCGCGGGTCACCCGTGTGTCTGATTCCTTCCCGCGACAACTTGTGACTCGCGTAGCCGAATCGTAAACAACAATTTCGAGAGGAGCGGACGGGTTATCCCCAATCAAATTATGGTAAGCCTAAGTTTCACCTTTTCTTGGTAATGTAAATCCTTGTTTTACTATCGGTTGCTGTTACAAAATTATGGGTTCTGTGTGTAATAATGCAAAATGCCAGTTTTTATTCATGCCCGCGGGCGGCTTTGTTTGTTCAAATTGTTGTGTACTTTCATCTAGCCCCTTCGGTTTCGCCGCTGACAAACTGGAGTTCATGAATATTTTTTCAAGCACCAAAAGTACTAGCATGTCTCTGTTGGAACCCCATTAGAATTTCACATGACGGCTTGTCATCCCTGTCGACAGAAATTTTGTTGGCCGCCTCGAGTTTGCGGGAGTAAATCATCGGCGTTGGGAGGGGAGCCTCCGGGCATAATTTGTTTACGTACCCTTAGTTGTAGTTTTGCCGTAAAAAAAGTTTTTTGGGTAACCTCTCACAACCTATGCATGAATTAGCTTGTGAACATTCACATTAGAATATTAGGATATCATGATAAGCCGAATTTTAACCCAATTTTTAGTGCTAAGATCGGTAATTTTGTTGGGCTGTCAGGGTGAACTCGGAGTTTTAGCACTTAGGCTCAAATTGAGTCAGACTGCCACGTGTACTACAGTATCAAAATAAATTCACTTGCACCGTGTAAACTTTTGTTTAGTCGATGTTTAATGGAAATTCCTGGGTGCCATTTCTGCATGTACAGGAACATTTCTGACCTCGGTGTAGGGAAGATCACGTACGCGATATCCAGCAGCATTGTGTGGCGTCGGGCGGCTTTTGGCGTCAGAAGCCCCGCCCGGTCAAGCCGCCAGACCCGGCTGTTCCTCGGCCCGCTTGATGCGTTCTCTCGCCCTTTCGGCCCTCGCCTCTCCTTCTGTTCTTTGCTTTCGTCCCAATCTCTGTACTTCTTTCTTCCAAGGTTTTTTTAGTAGGGACCCAGGCAACATTGTGTCGGACCCAGGCGGGTGAAGCTTGCCCAGAGTCTGTGGCGATAGTAACTCGCCACAATCTCGGGATATTTCTGTGGCCGTATCCCCGCGGCTGATCGCAAAAATCCACAATCTGCGATGTTTTTCGGTCAGTTTTTCCTGGGCCTTTCCTTGATTTGTAATCACCTTGGCACACATTGAAAAGATACACTGTGTTTACCACTTTTTTGACCCGCAACCAGCTACAAAACAATGAACCATGTATATAGCGCGTAGGCTACGCGGGGTTGTAGGTACACCAAAATGGCGGATAACACCCGTCGCTAAGGTCGGGTCACGTGACTGAAACCCAAGAATTACATTAGCCCCTAGTGGGGAGAGAACGCGTAACACAGGCTACATTTAGAATGGCACACTCAGTTCAATGAAGCAAACTCAGCCACTAACTTTGATATCAAAAATGGGCCAAAAATATCTCTGACTGTGATGCTAGCTATATACAGACTTCTTATAAGCTATTTTTCATCAGTGCTTTAAATATTAGTAATAGTAGACCACAAAGTCCTCCTTCAAACATAATGCTTCCGTTATGCACTTCAATTAGAGAGAAATGTTACATGTAACATAATGAACGTTATGAGATATGATATCATAAAAGAGAGTAATCAACATACCCTGACATGATCATTTATTTTACAAGCAATAAGTGAACAGTTAGTAGCTTATTTGGCACAGCTTGATCTTGTATAGCAGACAGGTGCAATTATAGTTTAAGACCCCATAGGGCTAATCTATGGCTTGTAAATTAGAATTTACTGGCCAATAAATAGACATTTTCTAGATCTGCTCAATTACTAGTATATGAAAAAATGGAATTCTAAGCACCCCTAATTTCTCACTGATGTGGTATGGCCTAAACATGCGTGATACAACTTCTGCTTGACAACAATAATCAGACATGCATGACAGAACCTTTGACCAATTATGACCTCAGGGGAACAAAAAACAAAATTATTAAGATCAAAAAGATGAATGTTACAAAGACTTACATGCTATTTACCCTCTGCTACAATACAATAGAGGTACTTTTACACTGTGTCAAGATTACAGGTAAGCCATGACAAGGGGAGTGACCCTGGAAGAAGTTTAAGGTTAACACTACAGTAGGTACTGTAGGACATGTATGTACACAGTGGTACAATACACATCTTAAAGGTGACATTTACAAAATCATTAGTGTCATAAGATCAATATTGGGAAGTGAGGGAAATGTTATCTTTAATGTTATGCCCTGGCAAAGGCCGTAAAGTTGACCTTTGGGTCGACACTATTGTTCCCGTGTTTGTCAGGTGCATAGTGCTGTTGCGGCAAGCATGTCAACTGTGGTTAGACTGACACAGCAAATCGCTCAGGTGAAACTTCAAACAGACCCCCTAGGCCTTGTTGCCAAGGCAACCAGGTAAACATACACAGAGACCATGCCAGGTTGTGGGGTCAATCTCCCAGTACTACGCTTTCATGCGTGACACTTCCTTCTCTATCCCCACGCATACCTTATCTTCTCTACACTATCAAATTATACCCTGTAACTTTGGGGGGCCTTTTTATGCTGTCAGCTTTTCCCAGCCAAATTTAGTAGAATTACTAGAAGTGGTTACATGTAACTGCAACAAGAATAAGTTTATATTCTGAGAAATGTAAGGAAACATAATATTAACTACATACATCATTATTACATGTATTAATAATATTATCTATTGTTGTAAAATATACTTTAGCTCTTAATTTTTCTTGTAAACTTACTGTTGGGAAAGCATCCTATTGTTATAAATATCCTATTACAAGTGTAATTTTCATACATGAATATAGGACTAATATCCTAAGGCTTAAGGCTAGAGGTGATAAATACTTAAAGTAAGTAGCTACGCATTTCTTTAATCCAAACAAAGATCACTTCACAATAGTGTCCATGGAAACATCTACAGACTGTTTTGGCCCTGGTTCCAACTACACAATCCCGACCTGCTGCTGACAAAAGAAGCAACCTGTAGGGCACTTTTCCAGGTTTCATGATAGGACAGGGACACAAATGAAGGAAGGAAGACATTTTCCTAACAGTCAGACTGTCCAAATCCCCTGTCACTGTTAAACACACGGTCCCTACTCATTTGGAAAATTTTGAAACTTACAAGTAATTGCTATGATCATGCTAAACATTAAAAGATTATGACTTCCGAGGTCGTTTTTACAATAGCTTTAAAAATAGATAGCTAGACAGATAGATAGAGGTACAGCTTCCCCTGTCGTCAGTGGTAGAAGAGTACAAGGTTGCCAAGTGCAGAACAGTTCTCCTGTACAGTGATTCGCAGGACCAGAAAGTCAGGGAGGCAGGAGTAACAACCAGGGCAGGCAGAAAGTTCAAGGCCAACGAGCTCGTCGCACAAGCCAAGAGTATGCTGTTGATAAGGGACATAATTGGTGCCACAAACAGCGGGAGACAGGGACTTGGGTCTTCACATTTCCAACAGTGGGGGAAGGCTAGCAAGAAAGAGAGAAGGGCGATGGTTCAGACTGAAGTAAGACAGCTGGAGGAGGAGGGGCGCAGAGCCAAGGCAGTGGCGTTATCCGTCCCAGGGGGCATGGACGAGATGGAACCTACCTAGTAGGAAGCTGACTTGGGCCGATGTGTGGAAGCTGGAGCCCTTCAGAATCTCCTTCTTGCTCAGGTCTGTTTATGACACTCTTCCCTCTCCGGCTAACTTATGCAGGTGGAACCTGAGGGAGGACCCAGCATGCAAACTGTGCGGTGAGAGGGGCACGATGGCCCACATCCTTTCTGGTTGCAAGGTTGCCCTAGCCCAAGGGCGCTACAGATGGCGCCATGACAAGGTGTTAGCAGTGATAGCAGAACTTCTTGAGCAGCAGAGGAGGAAGAAGCGCCAGGATAGGCCCAGACCAGATCTAGCAATGACCTTCGTGAGAGAGGGAGAAGTGAAACCGGCAGCAGGAAGAAGGGGTAACAGCATCTTGCAGAGAGCGAAGTCATGGGAGCTGAGGGTGGACTT